TCTGATAGTGCATTATGTTCATTCTCCAAGACAAGAGGTTTTTTTTGGTCTTTCGTACATTTGACACTGACATTAGTTCTGAATAAAATTGCAGCACTTTTGTCGTTGATTCTGTGCATGCATTTGTTTTTGGTGTGTATAATTTATGAATGTAGAGGGAGTAAACAGCCTCCACTTTGGTGACATGGTTTTGCACTTTGCAGACACACGTGCAGTTCGTGTGTCAATCAATTAACAACCACTTTATAGGTTTTGTTTTCTCCTTTCCTTCCATTGTTGTTTCTTTTTCTTCGGTTTGTGGTTTAAATATAACTTTGATATAATAACAAGCAGGAAGAATAACATCGAAAACATCGTGGTCTTGAATTCTTAACTAACATTCTGAGACCCCAGATCTTGGACAAAAATAAATATATATATTAGTTTTCATTTTTAAGTTTTAACTTGTATTTCTTGAGAGAATAAAACACCCCTTTCAGTGATGATCTAGAAGGGCTCCATGCAATGATTTAAGCTCCCTAATCGTTTGTTTTTACGATCTGGAGAGTTGTCTTGAAGATTTGAAAGTACATATTTAGAGTTTAAATAATGTTTCCACATTAGTGCAAATATTTTCTCCTCCATTTGAAATAATATCTTCCACACAGACGTGCAAGCACGGAACAAAAGGTTTGTGTTGCTAAATGTCTGTTTAACGGACAGGCATGCAAAAAAAACAATGCCCTAAGTCAGGAAACTATAGATTGGTTTGGCTCCTCGGTGGATTGGGCACAGACCACCCCACACGGAGCTCCAGCCTGCCAAAAGGCTGTCATGTTAAGATTTTTAAGACTGGATTGTGAAACTTTGATGTACTTAAATCTTGGAACGGCTGGTGAAACAGGCTGGACCAGTCGTTGCTGCTTTTCAGCCTTTTTTCTTGCCTGTACATTTTCTCAGGGCTCTCCGGCTTCCTCTTTGTTTCTCAGGAAAAAAACCTCCCTGGGATGATGGGTAACAGCTATTCATAGGATATGTTTGGTGACTTTCATAACTGGCTAGGCTGGCTGCATTGTAATGATGCTTTTCAGGGTAATTGTTGCTGGTAAAAAGACTGAAACCGTGGAAGTATTTTTAACAGCATAAAATTCCCCATAAACCGTGGAAATGATCACATCAATAGGTAAGTAATCACTACCAGATGTGAAAATGGATCCTCTGACTTTATGTTCCGAAGATTTTCT